CTTAGGTTACTCTTGACTGTGACATAGTTTCAGACCTCCCCTGTTTTTGGTAACTTTGACAGTTTTATGGAGTACTAGTTAGATATTTCGTAGAATGTCCTTCAATTGGGATTTGTCTGACTTTTTCTTCATTAGACTAGGTTATGTGTTGTTGGGTGGAAGACCATGGAGATAAAGTGCCATTCTCATGTTATATTAAGGGTATATCCTATTTATACAAGGGTCACTGTTGATGTTGACCTGGAGGATTTGGCCGGGACAGTATTTGTCAGGCTGCCCCACTGCAAAGTTACTCTTTCCCCCCTCTTTCCATACTGTACTCTTTGTAAGAAGTACAATGCACAGGCTACCCGTAAGGAGTAAAAATTCATGCTCTGCCTTCTTGAAGGTAAAATGTGTGCATAAATTATTTGGGAATCTTTTGAGTGGTAGATTAGTCTCTTCTCCCCATTTATTTACTTGTTAATCACTTATTTATAGCAGACTCATTGATGGTTATTTTTATACTCTGGGTTATAATCCCATACTACTTTATTTATTTTGTTCTCAAATTGTTCCAGCATTAGCCATTGGAAGCTCTATCCTTTAATTCCTGTGTCCCTTTTACATATCCCCATCATTATAATTTTTTAAAAGCATTTATTTACTTTCTGGCACTACAAGATGCTCTAGGTCATCTTGCATAATTCCTGCCCCAGGCCTAAAGTCAGAGATTTCTCCAAGGAGCCCTGGCTTCTAATACTAGAGAATGGTGTTAGAAACCAAGATCTGAGTGCTAGGTGACTGCTTTGTTTTTTAAAGATGCTTTTGTACATACATATTTCTCTTTCCACAACCTTCATAACAGATAGGTAAACTAAGGTTTAGAGTAGTTAAAGGATTTGCTCAGTACCAAGGCTAATAATAGCAGTGTTGGAATAAAACTTAGTCTTCTCATGATAGTTCCCTGTCCTTTGATTATCTAATGTCTTCTGGATTAAGGACAGAGCAGCAAAGACCAGATTAACAACCTATAAGAAAAAGAAAAAGGCACTTCCAGAAGATAGTCCTTTCAGGAGGGAAAATTTAATAGGAGTAACTGACAAACTCTCTTGTTTATCTAGAAGAAACAACTGGAGATTCTGTCTTTCATGGAAAGATATTTTTATATATTACGGCTATTGACTGAGGGTGATTTAGCTCCCCTCACTCCCAGGGACATTTGGCAATGTCTGGAGAGATTTCTGGTGGATGGAGGCTGCTGCTACAGAACAGCTCCTCCAACAAAGAATTACCCAGTTCAAGATGACAATAGTGCTAAGGTAGCTAAAGGAGTAAATACTAGAAGATTCTTAATCTAATTTACACTGTTCACATTCTCACTGAATTACTTTTCTATTGGTGGCTATGAGGGATCACCATGGAAGACTCTGTCTCATTCTGTAATCTCATGAGTTAGCCTATCAGAAGAAAAAGTCCCCACTTTGGTTAAGAAACATGGCTCTCAAATCAGATAAGAGACTCCTGTGGTACTTTTACAAAATACATATATTGTTTACAGACAGGATATTCCCCTGTTGCCCAGGCTGGAGTGCAATAGCGTGATCGTAACTCATAGGTAACTTTGAACTCCTGGGCTCAAGCAATCCTGCCTCAGCCTCCCAAGTAGGTAGGACTGCAGGTGCACACCACCAGATCTGGCTAATTTTTAATTTTTTTTTCTAGGGATGAGGTCTCATTATGTTGTCCTGGCTGGTCTCGAACTCATGGCCTCAAGTGATCCTTCTGCCTCAGCCTCCCAAACTGCTGGGATTATAAGCATGAGTTACTATACCCAGCCACCTGTAGTTCTTATGTATGGGACAAATAGAAGGAGGCATGCTCTTTAAACAAGCTGCTTGAGTCAAGCAGGGCATGAGCACAGTTACATATAATGGTCCTGAAAAGGAAAGGCCTATCTCCATATAAGCCATCATTTACTGGCCACATTGACTGCTTCCTGTTTCAGGAACAAGTTGTGTGGAACAGTTAGGTGGCTCTGAATGAATGCGTGAACTTTACCAAGTAGATGGCTGTTACCCAGAAACTGTCATTCACTACTTAGGGATCTCAATTTGGAGAGGAAGTGAGTGACTGAATCCCTGTTTGTTGATGTGGTGACCACCCAGCACTTTGACAGGAGAAAGAACCCTTTTATTTACCAGGATCTCTCTTGGAAGATTTAGAAAAAACTTGCTCACTCTTGGCACTAACAAGCTGATGAAGGACATTTTTCTGAGCAAAGCTAGGTGCCCTGGGGCCATCAATTGCCACTGCCCTCTATGACAAAATTCAGAGAGCTTTGGTGGCAGCACTATCTGGGGTGAAGCTATTTGTGGAGCTCCTAATGAAGTAGATATGTGCATATAAAGTAGTCAATGCACTGCCATATCTGGTACATGTAAACTGCTTCTCAATGGTAGCAAAAATAAAGAAGAAATGTTTACCTAGTGCTTTCAATCCATCAGTCTTTGTGCTAAGTTCTTTATACATTATCTTACTGAATCTGCATAACATCCTATGAGATAAATACCATTATCAGGTTTATTTTCATATGTGGAAGTTAAAAGTAATTGTGTCAATTGGCCAATGCTAAACAATCAAAAAGTAGAGCTGGTATTTGAATCTGTATCAGACTAACTCTGACACTTGGGTGCCTTCATTACTGTGTTATACTATCTTCTACCTGTACTGCAGCAACTAAAATTATTATTATTAACCACTGTACCTGGCTGTTTCTTTTTAAAACTTGGGTAGCAGAGGTAGAAGGTGGTGAAGGTCAAGAATGTTGAGTTATTCTTTCCAGTATCTTCCAATGATTCAATTCTGTTTAGCATTTTAAATCAGACAAGATGATAATCAGAGACCTAGCAGAGAATCAAGGACTTTTTGTGGATTTTGTAAAAAGTTCAGTTGTAAGTCTCAGTTGGCCCCCAATAAAGGGAATGGTGTCTCCAAACTATGGGTGGTATGTGGTTCAGGACAAAGCTGACATCAACATCATTAAACAGGCAAAGCAGATCTGTGGCCAGATGCCCATGAAGACTTATGCCTCTTCAGACCCTAGGTAGACAGCAGAGGACAGTAGAGGTGAGGAGGGCAGCTGGCCCACTACAAATGGAGAAAGGAGGTGGGGGTGGACAGGAGATCCTGCTTCCCATGACCCTCTGGCTCTGAGGCTATGGCTCTGATGGACACACACAGCTGTAGAAGAGTGAGGAGCCCCTGGACACTAGTTCTGCCAGAAATGAAAGGAAAAAGAGCTGGTCAGATGCAACTAGGTAGAACTCTGGAGAAAACATGGCTATTCCATTTGAGGATATCTGCAATACCAGAGTAGAAGAGGGGTGGAAAAGGAAGTATCTCCTTTCCCTGTCTAATGAAGAACGGTGCCTGGCTCATGGTAAGCACTATGTGAGTGTTAAAAACAGCATACACAAGGCCACACAAGTAGAAGAGGAAAAGGTGGAGAGAGTGAGCCAGCACTCCCAACACTGCAGAGTTAAGAAGCAGCAAACACGACCCAGAAAAAGTCAGCAATGCTGGTGAAATGCTCATAAAATGTCATAGCAGACAGAAGGAAACACTATTTTGTTTGGTGTAATGAAGCTGCTACTCACGTTCCCCTGACCTCAACTTTCTATGTACTATGTATAATTTGACAAAATAACATCCAAATAGTTTGAGTATTTTTCTAATTGATATAATTTCTTTGTGCTATTAAAAACCAAATGGAAAAGAGAAAACTTTTTTTTTTCCTAGATCAAACTAATCACTAATAATGGGTTAATTTATAGTTTGGGGAAAAATTTAGAAAAGATTTAAATGCTATTATGTAAACTGGCTTAAATTTTGATTAACCGAACTCTTTCTCATTGCATATATTTTGTTGTTGTTAGAGCGACACTAAAATCCAAAAACACTTAAGGATTTAAATGTACTTTTAGGAAATAACAAATGTGGTATGGAAAATATAAATAATCTATTAGTTAAAAAATGGAATTCCTGAAAGTCATTGCTGGGTGATTTGAGGTTGAAGCCATCAAGGAAGTTAGATGCTTATGGAGTATATGATTAATAAGGAAAGGATGACTGTCCTTTTGAAATACAATCTCATTCTTGTAGATAGCATGATGTCAGGAAGTAACAGAATGTCAGGGATAACAGAATGCCAAGTTTAGCCCCTTAACATCCCGACAATACCAACCAATAAGTGTTACAGTAGGTACTCAAACAAACACTAGACAGATAGGTGAAGAATGAATGAATAACTGACCAAAATGTTCATTTTATCAAATATGGTTACAGGCAGGAATCTCTCTCCATCTTCACCTTCCCCCTTCCAACTTGTGGCTTAAAATAGCTTTTTGGTCTCTTCTAAAGTTAATGCTAGAAAATAGCATCTCTTTGGCCTTCAGTCCCCACCCACAATCTCACTATCTGTTCTGTGCACATCAAATTTGCTTAATTGCTACTAGTTGCTATTGTTGATCTAAATCTGCCTATACACTTCAATCTTAATCAGTGAATATATTTAGCTAATTAACAAGGGAATCTACCATATTCTAAAGATGCACCTTTTCCAACCAAAAATTTAAAAGCTATTCTGACAGCCAGCCATCTTTCTAACCCCTGATTATGTACATTTGAAGGAGGGAGCAGAGAAATGATACG